GGTCTCAGTCAGGAGTTCCTAGAACACAGACACAGCCCCTGAGGAAAGGAAATTTTTAGGGGAGCTGATTAGAGAACTCACCAGAAAAGGGGCCCTAGGAAAGGTCTGGAGGAAGCAGTTTCTGAAAGAGTTTCTAGGGGCACAGTCTGGTCCCAGTAAAAGCACCTTACTTACCCAACAGTACCCAGAGGCTCAGGTCACTGGGGAATTATATGCTGCTCCAGAGGTTTGACCTTTGTTGTGGCTGTGAGTCCAGAGAAGAAACCTTTCCCCAGGAAATAACAGGAGGCCTTACTTCAGAAGAGGTGCCCAGGTTGAGAGGGCCTTACTGGCGAACAGCCCGGCTGGAAGAGATGGATGGACTCGGGGCGGAGGGCAGACAGACTAAGATTAATTTGTGCCTCTTCTCTGCCCACTAGGATGCTGGGGTGAAGACTTGCTTGAATGCCTACTTGGTGTCTAGTTAAATAAATTAGATACCTGATGGGAAACTGTTAACTACATAAAAGCCTCACTGAAATTATTGAAAGTGCATTAGGGGAAATGGAGACAGGAATGTACCCACTACTCTGCATTGGGCCCCCAGGGGCACGTGGAAAAACAGGTTTGACACAAAGGGACTCTACACAGGGTGAGTGTCCACATTATAACAGGCATGAAATGATATATCTGTGCACCAGTGTGGAGCCCACCAACTGTAACCTGCTGTGACAGGTTGGATCACAGAAACCCCCTTGGGAGCTGCCACCTAATGTATCAAGACGACTTCTATTCCTGTTTTTCCTGCCAGCTCAGGACTCCAGCACTCTTGCTTAGCCAGACACTCCCGGCTACTCCAACACAGACCCAGGGTCTGAATTACTTGCCCCAAAGCTGCAGGTTTACCTGAAAACAGCTCACAGAAGTGTGCTTGTCTTTAGCACTCAGATGCCCAACTCCCAACGGGGTCTAAACCCAAATAAATCCGTTTTACCCTGTATAAAGCTTATACAGGGTAAACTCATAAATTGTTTGCCCTCTATAATACTGATAGAGAGATATGCACAGTTGTTTGCTCCCCCAGGTATTAATACATACTCTGAGTTAATTAAAAAGTAAAAAGTGATTTTAATAAATACAGAAAGTAGGATTTAAGTGGTTCCAAGTAGTAATAGACAGAACAAAGTAAGTCACCAAGCAAAATAAAATGTACAAATCTATGTCTAATCAAACTGAATACAGATAATCTCACCCTCAGAGATGCTTCAATAAGTTTTTTCTCAGACTGGACACCTTCCAGGCCTAGGCACAATTCTTTCCCCTGGTACAGCTCTTGTTCCAGCTCAGGCGATAGCTAGGGGATTCAGAGTAGCAGCCGTGTTAGTCTGTATCCGCAAAAAGAAGAACAGGAGTACTGGTGGCACCTTAGAGACTAACAAATTTATTAGAGCATAAGCTTTCATGGACTACAGCCCACTTCTTCGGATGCATATAGAATGGAACATATATTGAGGAGATATATATACACACATACAGAGAGCATAAACAGGTGGGAGTTGTCTTACCAACTTTGAGAGGCCAATTAATTAAGAGAAAAAAAACTTTTGAAGTGATAATCAAGCTAGCCCAGTACAGACAGTTAAGAAGCTAGGGAATTCTTCATGATGGCTCCTCTCCTCCTCTGTTGTCTTCCACCCCTTTATATATCTTTTGCATAAGGCGGGAACCCTTTGTCCCTCTGGGTTTCCACCCACCCTCACTGGAAAAGCACCAGGTTAAAGATGGATTTCAGTTCAGGTGACATGATCACATGTCACTGCAAGACTTCATTACCCACTTGCCAGCATACACATATACAGGAAGACTCACAGGTAAAACACAGCCATTTGCAGACAATGGTCCTGGTTAATGGGAGTCATCAAGATTCCAAACCACCATTAATGGTCCACACTTTGCATAATTACAATAGGCCATCAGAGTAATATTTTATATTTCTAGTTTTAGATACAAGAGTGGTACATTTATACAAATAGGATGATCACTCTCAGTAGATTATAAGCTTTGTAATGATACCTTACAAGAGACCTTTTGCATGAAGCATATTCCAGTTACATTATATTCACTTATTATCATGTTTTTTATAAAACCATATAGACTGCACAATGTCATACCTGCAACTTGTGATGCTTTCTTTTGGACTCTTCATTCAGCAGATCATCACCTGGTAATTTCTGAAGGTATTAGGAAACAGAAATGAGCATATGTCACTCGTCCTCCAGAAGGAGAATCCAATTAAAGGGATGTGTTCCACTTTCCTTTTGAATGTGACCAAAATATTTGTATCTTCTCAAAATTGACTACTCTCTCTCTTTCTCTCTCTGTTATTGCTTCTTAAGACAAGGTTAATTATAATTATATAATTATAATAATTATTATAGACTATATAGATGCTTCTCTCCCTGATCAGTCTTATGTCAGTGTAACTCCACTGAGTTATTGCTGATTTATGCTGATGTAAAAAGAATGAAGCCTATCTGCACGTCAACAAATGTATTTACATATATATATATATTTAATTACTGCTTGTGCAAAGAAAGGCTCATTTGCCTAAGAGCTCACATAGATTTTAAGGGGAAAAAGCTGCCCAAATTGTATGCATAAAGCCTAAACAATAACTCTCTTGCTCTCTGTGTATAAAATACATCCATGCACAGTGCTGTAAGGCTGAATTTTCCTTTGGGTCTTTGAACAGTTAGGGTTTTCACCTTGTTCTGACCAGAAGCTACACACACTTTGGTTGATTCAAATGTACCACTTTTCTGGAATTTGGTTCTATTGGTAACTAAAAAACAAACGAACAAACAATGTAAAATCAGCTTATACTTTTCCCTAAGCTTGCATGTTCCTAGAGTAGAATTAATGAGTCATCACTGCAACAATAAATAAGCAGTTTTTGCAGGGTTCCAGTACTGCCTACCAGTGTGGTTAATAGAAAAGCTCATCTTAGCATGTTTGTGTCTGTTGTTTATTTTCTTAGAATATAAGGTTCTTCGGAAGAAACTTGGACCCCAATCTTCATTGGCACAGATGGTCTTAAAGTTGGCATAGCTGGATATGGGAGGCTCACCCGTTGTTTGTAGATCTTCTGGTGGTGTAGAACCAACATACTAGTTCATGTGCCACTATCTTCCCTGAAAAAAAAAAGGGTGGAGGAGTGGCAGGGGAGACTACATGGCCAGTGCTTTACTACACTCAGTTTATTTCCTTTGAGCCACTAAGTGCTGGGGGAATGTAGGCCCACCAGCCTTTAGTCAATTCCAACTTCAGATAGGTATTGGCCCATTGCATAGAAGGCTCAAGGTGTGTGAAATGTAAATGTGTTTCATGCCACTGCTGCACTTGCCCCTTCTGAATTGCTCTCATTTGGCTGCAGCCAAGGACTGGGACCTGGGTCTGTCTTTATACCTTCTAGAGTGATGAGCACCAGTCAGAGGGCAACAGCTAATAAATGCAAGTTCTGCTGGGTTCACTTAAGTGTGTATGTTTCCTTTACACCAGGGGTTCCAAAACTTGATTCACAGCTCGTTCAGGGTAAGCCCTGGCGGGCCACGAGACACTTTGTTTACCTGAGCACCCATAGGTACGGCCGCTCGCAGCTCCCAGTGGCCGTGGTTTGCTGTTCCCTCCATTTTCTGGTAATCTAGCCTCCAATGTTGTATCATTCAAATGCTGGCTTAACTTTCTTTAACTATCACTCAGTTCCTATCTGCTTCTGTCCCAAAAGAACATTTATGTTCACAGACAAATGCATTTTTAAGCGGTTGGAAATCTTGAGGGTCTGTTGAGCACTGTTTTTGTTTTCCTATCTCCAGTTTTATTGTTTTTTCTTTCATAGTGTAAATGTGATAAAGCAGTAGAGAACACCCAACAATACATTTTCCAGAAGCACTGTCCTTTCTGACAATTTTGTCCCTTTTGTCTTTTACATCAATTATTTCCCCAATGTTACTTCCCTGAGCTGGACTTTAAACCCGGGAAGCCAATCAGCTGTATGCCTAAAATGGTCATTTTGCTAATGGTTGCCATGTTTCCCTGTCTTCTAGCTGATATTTTTTTTCAAAAAACAATCTTGTTATATTTGCTCTTAGTTTTCCCCTTCTTTATTTTTGAGATGGCATATTATCTCACAGTAAGTGCCATGCCAACTCTTTACAAATACTGTATTTTGAATGTGAAGAATAGTGCTGGCTAAAAATCTGTTGTTGTTTTATTCCCTCTTCATGTTTCTTGGCTCCTTTCTCTAACTAGAGCAATGGCATTGTCTTTTGTTATTGCAGTATCTCTCTAGGTTTAATATTATAACATGGATTGTGGTGGTGTTGATATCTCTAATTTTTCTGATTCTGCATAATCAGCTCTATATATTTAAGAGCTGATTATGACCAACATACAAAATATGCTCTGGCTCTATAGAGCTTTCAGTACAAAATCTTTTACTAATAAAATGAAATCCATAATAAGAGAATTCTGCACCCAGTAGGGAGTTTAATTATTTTTGTCTTTTCCAGTAATTTTTTATCAGTTGGAGACTTTTCTGAGAAAAAAAAAATCCTGATTGAAATCCTGTCTATTTTCTTAGCGGGAATCCAGCAAGTGAAATACGTATGTTAAGTATCTTAGGGAAAAGCAGGACCATGAAGAATCAGTCTTTTTTAGGGAAACACTTGGGAAGGAAAATGATCAAAAGTGCATATAAATAAAGTATGATTATTCCCTAAAACTACAGATTTATGATAGAGACACTGGAAGGGAGTGAAAAGGATTTTCCTCATCCCTGAACTGTGCTTTCAAATGGTGCTTTCCCAAATCACTGAAAATCTTAGTCCAGAATTTGAGACTTTTTATCTCCACCTCTTAACTTTTATTTCCCTCCTCTTACCCCCGCCTCCTCAACAAAAACCCCACAAACAAGCAAACAAACAACAATAATCCTGTCTCATAACTGGCTTCATTGGTTGCAGGTTTGGGTCTGAAATGTGGATTCAAAAGAGCATCCCTCCAAAAAGAAGGGTAAGAGAGCTGCGTCACCACCATCTTCTGTTTCCAGTTGCCTTATAATAGCAGGTGAGAGAGCACCACTGCCTGGAGTATCATTTTAATATCTCCATTTGACAGTTGAACCCAGAGGATGATCAGTTGATTGAGGAGCTTCCTTGTCCTTTAGCGTTACTAGATGACTCCTTGTTGGGCCTATTTGTTGTCTCCATGTAATGAGGGAAAGGCCTTACAGAGACAGTTGTGCATTCAGTGCAGGTTTTGTATATTCCAATTGCTGCAGTCCTGGGAAAAACACACACATTTTATGACACATACACATTTTATGAAGGATGAAGAAATGTTGGTTCTGCTGATAAATAACGGCTTTATTTATGAATCTTGGCTGGGAGATTTGGCAAATGTGTCTTTGGTTTATCTGCATGCATAAACTTGACCACCAGTACTGCCTGGGTCCTGAAACTGAGGCTTTTCTTTCAACATCCTACCAGCGCTTATTGGTGTTTTCTGCTATCTTCCATAGAGGTAAGGCTGGCAATCTTTTAAGAAAACTCCCTTGGATAGTGTTCCAGAGGTGAGATTGCACCAAGAGATGATCTTGCACTTTCATCTGCTGTCTAGGAGAATCACTAATTATTAGGCAGTGGTTATGACTTCCGTCTATTGAGTGAATACCTTCCTTGCTCTAGGGTATTAGGGCGTATATTCAGAAAGGCCAGGATTTGGCTAAGCATGAATTACTTTGTACACCAGCTCATTGAATTGCTTTGGCTGTAACAATCAACCAGTGGATCTGACTGAAGACTCCTGGGTGATCTCAAGAGTTCCAGGAAACTTCTTGACTTTTTCTTTTTGTACGAGTGTAACCACACCTAGAACACTTCCGGAATTCAGTTTTTACAAGCTTAAAAATAAATAGGGTTGCCTTAAGAAACTGGGTTGGTTCTTTACTCATCTGTTGATGTGTATGTGATTTGCTACAACAAATTCCTATGGAGACAACCCACAGTTGACATCACTGACAATATTAGTCCATGCCAAGGCCAATCTTAAAGGAAGCACCAGGAAAGACTGAATGTTTCTATCTTCTTATGTGAGAGATGTGAATTGGAGAAAAAATAAATGGTGATTGGATATGAATCTGCTAATGAGGGAAGGAGAGATAGAGGGCCCAGAAAGGTCACTACTGCTGTTTAAAACAAAATCCGTTTTTATTGAAGAATTGGGATCAGGCTTTTTGGATGAGAGGACTGACAGATGGATAAATACCTATTTTTAGTTTCAATCAATCTTGATGGATCATTCACTGTGTGACTCTGTTGCTGGGAGAAGAGTAAAGAGAAAGTAGTAAATGTTTTTTGAATCTGTCATTTTAAAGTATGGAAGCTTCCATATACCAAAATTATGGTTCTAGTCTGAACAGTGACTTTGTAAAAAATGACACGTTTGGGTTCCATATTTATTATCTCTACTTCAGATTAAAACTACTCAAATAACATCCTTTCCCCCCCCTAACAGCCACTCATATTGGAATCTGAAAGTCAAGCTGGGTTCTTCCTAGCACCTGCATCATCAACTGGAATTAAGAGCATAAACTTGTACTTCTTGACATCAGTGGGAGTTTTCCTATTCAGTGGAGCAAGAGCAGGGCCTTAGTTAACAGTTCTGTTGACGTGTGAGTTAGAATAGAATGCAGCTCATTTTTCCTTTGTTATGTTAGCTTTGCTGTGCTAGAAAAAGGAGTAAAAACTGACTTTAGCTAGTAAGACACAACTCTAAACCCAGAGAGCAGATCTGCTCAGGAAGAAGATGCTATTTCTATGCAGTCACTTCTTACAATAGAACAGCACTTTAATTCAGTGTCAGCAAGAGTCTCTGGCAGCTATTTCAGAACAGGAACAGGCGTACATACTATATTTCAAACAGCAAGTAACTTTATTTCAACTCTCTTCAGGTTTCTGAACTTGGAGAGCTACTTATTTTAAAATTCTTTGCAAGCTTTCATCACCAAAAACTACTGTGATGACATTTGACATGAAGCAATCTGACCAAGGGTGATGTGTCATGTATAAAACACATTTTTTGGAGTGGATGTTGCCTAGAAATTGGAGAAGGGAACATCTGATTCAAACTGTTTTAGATTTTTATTGGACTGGATTTCTGCTTAAAGATAACTTTGACTTACCTGTGGATAATTCATTAAAGCTACTTTTTCTGATGTATCCTGACCAGTTGATCTCTAGGGCACCAAACCAACAGAGAAATGTTTCCCTTCTTGCAACTGTGCTAGGGACACTTGAAATGTTCCTGGCTGCCATATCGAGCATGTACTTCTATAAAGAGTGCGTGTCTTGACAGTGATTAGAACAAGTGACTGAGAATCAAAACTCCTGGATTCTATATAGGGATATTGAGGCTTAATTAACATTTGTAAAGCAGTAATAGTGGTAAAAAGAAAAAATAATTTTTTGAGAGCACCCCCAGTAGGACACGTTCTGCTCTCAGTTATAGTAGTGTGAACCTGGAATAACTCATTTATATCAATGGAATTGCTCCAGTTTTAAATTGCAGTAAGTAAAAGTGGAATTTGACCTTTAGTCTCCAAGCCATTCTTGCTGAACACTGGAAGATATTTTACAGAAAGTATTAAATAAAATAAATAGGTCACGCAAATGGGAATGAAAATGCTTTGATACTGGCCCCTTATCTTTAAACAAAATTCTAATTTGACTCTAGCACAAGGAAAAGAAATGAATACTCTATGTGGTCCCATGTGAGCTGTCAGAATGATAAAACTGAATATTTTCTAAATCAGCTTTTCCATGGACAGCTGGTTCATCATCATTAGTATGTATATCCTTATTAATATCTAGGCCACCCAGTTATAAGACCCTAGATTGAAGCAGCACTAAATTCTGAAAAGCTGAAATCATGTTGTCAGTCTGTATGCACAACCTCATGCCAGAATGAACAGTGATCTGTTTGCTCTGTATATTACCACTTCACTCCCCAAAAGAGTGAACCCTTTTTGCTCATCATCCAAATGGAAAAAGATAAGATTTTCCATATATTTTAAAAGTGATCTTTTGTAATAAGAGGTAGGAATAAAGTTGTCCTCCTGTTTGGAAGACTGCATGTATGCATACTGTGAGGATGTGTGATGATTACTTTACTTATCCCAAATCAGTGTGAGAGGGTCAGTCACTGCAAAGTGCTTGGTAATCTGCAATCTGAAACAGTTTGATGAGGGGGACAGACAGAGGCATGAGGCTTCTAATGCAGAATCTGTGCCTTAGATACAAATTATAGATAATCACTTTTAAAACCTATAGATTGCCTGCTTTATAAATATACTGCAGGTTCAGGCACTCTTTGAACTAAATCTGGAACATTTTACACCAGCCTACAGGTTGCTCAGATATGATCAGCGCATCTGGTTCAAGAGTTTAACATAGAACCAAAAGTTACCTTGACACATTGGAAGTGGTATAAGCATGACTTAAATGGAAATTAAATGCATGGAGGTTTGTAGGATGAGTTTTTTGGGTTTGAAGTGAGCCTGTATTGTAGATGGACTTCACAGATTGCCTTGGAGGTCCTTATTTGCAGCAGCAGCATCTAATAGATGGTTGAAAAGGATTAACAATGCTGCTACATCTTAGAAATTTTGCACGTGTCTACATTGCAATAAAACACCTGAGGCTGGCCCTCATCAGCTGACTTGGGTTCTCGGGGCTCAGGCTGTGGGTCTATAAAATTGCAATGTAGCTATTCGGGGCCCAAACTCCAGCCAGAGCATCTACACTGCTATTTTTAGCCCCACAGCCTGGGCCCCGAGAACCCGAGTCAACTGATGTGGCCAGCCTCAGGTGTTTTACTGCAGTGTAGATATAGCCATAGAGGCCTGGGTGAGGGTTGGCTGTGAGGGTTTGGATTACTCAGTCCCTGTGGTAGTAGGCAAGGGGAAAACAAGACAGGAAAAATTCTAGTGTAAGATGTACAAAAAGTTTTGCATCTAGATTGCATTTGTTTCACCTTTAATTGGGTCTCAGAAGATCGCATTGTTGGCAAAAAAGGGTTTCAATCTTTGGTTCATGTTGACTAATGAGAGATTGGGTGGTTAGTAATGTATGAAAATCAGAATTTAACAAAGGATTAGGCTCCTAATTTTGCATGTATTACTGAATCCTGGTTGGAGGACACTGTTGAACTAGTTTTGGTGCAGTTGACTCCAAGTGGGCATGTGGTATAGCATGAACATAAGAATCCTGGGATAGATAAGCATACAGCCTGCTGTGCAAATGCTGCCAGTACTGGGTAACTCACATCCAGGTTGATGGCAATTCTTCCGAGGCAGCTCAGGATTTCATTGCAACAACCAAGGGACTACCACAAATGCTCAGCTCATACACCCAACAAACTCTTGAACCCATGTTAGGGACCAATTTGTGGCTAAAGTGAACCTCTCCCATTGGGGTATTGAACCTATTGTGATGGTCAGCCCAAAGAGGTTAATGAAAACTGAGTGTTTCTGGAGAGCTCAGGGGGATGATATTTTTCTTGCAACAGAGTGATCTATTGATGAGCTGGTATTACTATATAGTCTTGTTCTCAATTATCAGTGAGGTAGCACACAGATTCCACTTCTGACTTCATTCTCACAGGTCATTGTGACTCACAGGCCAAAAAATTAAAAAAAAAAAAAGATGGTTATAGCTCCAGTGGTCCCGAGCTGCTCTTAGATGATCATTATAGTAGCATTGTCTAGGGAGACTTTCATTATATAATCTACATAGTGTAACCACTTCTTTCAGATCTGGATCTTATCACCAACAACCAGGCCTTTGTTACTTCAAGATTATATTACTGAAATATACTCTATGTGAGGCAAACTTTAACTCAAAACAGAAAAAGAAGCAGGAGCGAAATGCAGAAGTCTTCCAATTAAGTGATATAACTTGTAAGAACATGACACCCATGCTCCAATCTGCTGAACTGGCTGCTTTGTTGGCTTTTGAATGGAGTTTAAGGCTTTGATTTTGATCTATAAAGCTCTAAATTTTGGGGGA